ATAATTAACTTTTTAAACGGAAGTTAGGTATATGTAGAATAGCGGAAAGAAGGTAATCCTTTATGAAAAAAATATCAATTGTTTTGAATTCAGGATTTCATATAAGAAACGAGACTGGCGGTTAAAGAGACGAAAAAAATTTTGCTGGCATTATTTTTTATTTTTCTTATTCTGTGTCGTAACTGACGCGCAATGATTTTAATATTATTAAATTATTTTAACTTACACTAAAAGAGTTAATAAATTAAAATTAGTAAATTTTAAAATAATTAGTTCAAGTTAAAACTTTACTTATTTAACTAAGTAAAGTTAAAAGTTATCAACTTTTCATTTTTGGGATAAAAAGTTATTAACTTTCTAATTTTTTATATAACTTAACTTATATAATTTTAACTGATTATATAATTAGTTATTAAAATTAAAACTTTAAAACTTTACTTATTTAAAATTAACTAAGTTAAGTTAAAAGTTATCAACTTTTCATTTTTGGAATAAAAAGTTATTAACTTTCTAATTTTTTATATAACTTAACTTTTTTAACTGATAATATAATTAATTATTACGCGATTCGGCTTCTTTTATTCTAATATTTTAATCTAATATTTTTAAATTTTCTTAGAATAGTACAATTTCACTCAAAAAGTAGAGCGAAAGTCACTGACTGAAGTCGAATGATTTTTGGCTCAAAAAGAATGAATTCTCTTCCACTTATTATAATGATAATCCTATAAATCTTTAAATCCTTCTCTCCTTCCTCCCTTTCTTTCTATTATTCATCCATCTTTCATTTATCTTTTATTCATCCATCTATTCATTTTTCTCTTATTCTCTCTGAATGTTAGATCAATTAGTCCAATCAGAGTTTTTAAACGATAAGATCGCAATCCTTGATGTCGCAATAAATCGCGGCTTAAATTATACGGCTCAAGTACGGACTTACCTTTTGTGAGAGAGTTCAGAAACGAATCGAGCGCCAGCTGACCGGTTGGCAAGGCAGCACTGAGAGCACCGCTGAGAGCCAGCAACTCCTGACACGTCATAGCCTCGTTGACACCCAACTCGGCTTGCATCTGCGACACACAGAGCTGGCATGAGGGAAAGGTCTTTCCACCGCAAATCTAAGTGCGTCATTTTTAAATGCATAAACATGTAATTTGGCTGAAGCCCCTTTTACACATTTCTCATTGTTTTAAGTCATTATTCGATACGTTTAAGATATATAAATTATGATTTAATATGTTTAAACGTGTTAAATGGCTCAGAACAGTAAAAAATGTGTAAAAGATTCAGTCAAAATAACATACTTGAGTTTGCAATGTAGCAGTAATTATATCTGTTTTCAATTTTGTGATTTTCACAATACTTTATACAAGGTGTAAAAAAACCTAAAAAAAAATTTCGAAACTCTCGCGGAGGCATAGTACGGAGGCATAGTACGGATTAGGATGAACATAAAAGTTCTATACTATTTTGCGATATTCGCAATAATTATAGAAATATTAATTGAAGAAGATTTATTAATGATCACACGAGAGATATAAGTAACATTAATATATTATCGCGAATGACCATTCGTCAATCTTCTTTAATTAATCATTAAAAATTTACAAAATTATTAGGAAAATAGAGAAAACATATTTCCTTTCTCTCTTCCTGAATTCAATTTTGAAATATACCAGAAAACATCCTGTTACAATTATATTATTTAATAATATTATTAACTAAATTTGTTTAATAATATTGTTAACTAAATTTGTTTAATAATATTGTAATAATATTGTTAACTGAATTATATTTTTAAATTTTCTTAGAATAGTACAATTTCACTCAAAAAGTAGAGTGAAAGTCACTGACTGAAGTCGAATGATTTTTGACTCAAAAAGAATAAATTCTCTTCCACTTATTATAATAATAATCCTATAATAATTTTTACTAGAAAAATCTTCTCCATTATTCACTGAAAGAAAAAATGATTAATCTAATTAAAATTATAGTTACTTTTGCCCTTAAATATATTCTTCTGTAGTTCTGACACGAAAATTATAATATAATATTAAATTATATTATAATTATAATAGTAATATATATATATATATATATATATATATATATATATATATATAT